TTTTAGAGAAAACGGAAACAAAAATGAAACTTATATTAAACATCAGGAAGAGACAGTTGCTGTTACTAGGGCACATAATGAGGAAAGACGGCTTGGAAATTCTTATACTCAGAATGACAAATTAAAGGCAGGATGGATAGCGGAAAACAACGCATAACATATTTAGTCAGCTGAATAAATGGATTGTGGAACAGGGTTTAGGAAAAATAGAATAAAGACAAAACTTATTAAGAACGACGAGGGAAAGGAAGTTGTAGAGAGTCATAATCGCCTACGTTCTGAGGGACACGGCACAAAAAGGAGAATTGGATCAGCTATCTATATGCTGTGTGTTATACTACGATGCATATGGGGTAGAATTTCACGTTTTTTCCATGACCAGTGTATCTTTACTAACACCGTTGGCGTGACCGATGCATTTCTATTAACCTAAGGAACTTCAGAGTGGACTGCTTCATGATTTGCAAGGCACAGTGAAGCAATGGATTACGGCTCTGATTGAGAAATAAGAGAGCCGAGCTCGAATTCTGGTTACATTAAATTACGTTCCAATACCCTTGGAAATGTATCGTTGCATTGCAACACAGATTAGACACTGGGTTCGTTGACAGGCTCCAGTTTCTTCTAATCAAACGCATGTAGCTTAGAAATTACCCACGAATGAAAAAGAAATCAATCTCTAGCAGTAAACCAAATTTTATTTTTGAGCTGTAACCTGCTGCTATAAACGAATGAATTTGAGATGAGGCGTAGGTAAAGGGGAAGGTGAGTAGGTTAGTGGGTGTCTTCCGTGTCTATCTTTCTCCGAAGCCTCCTTTGTCTCTCCGTGTGACATTTCAAAGAATGCTCATTTTTTTTTTTTTTAGATAACAGTTTTCTTTGACTTGTCATCTCCGTTTTAAAAAAGTAATTATCTTCCTTCCGTGCCTTTCTCTCTGCCTGAGCCTCTTGCTCTATACTTTGATGTTGACTTCATTTACTGATAAGCATCGGTCGAAAGTCAAACTTCCGAATACATTTTTGCGACCGTTCCAGCTCTTTTCACTTTTACAAGACCTCAGCTGACTAATATTGCTACAATATAACTCCATCTCTATTCCCGCAACTATGGCTAAATAACAGGACATACTGGGTACTATATCTTTGTGTGGCAAACAGTCCAGGTGAAAGACGACTCTGGATTAAAAACCTCCAAATATGGATTAAATAATCTCAACAATTCGCAATATGCCATGCGTGATAGGTGTGGTGCTTTCTTTTTATATGCTATGTTCATTCAGGACGTAGGCTATCATGGGTCCCCACCTCCATCTCTCAACAAGTTCCTTTCCTCTGCCACCTATCTCAGACCACGTTTTATCATCCATTTGTTTAAGCCCGCTAGATATGTCATGCTATGCGTTTCCATTGTCTATCATTCCCTCTATTCAACCCATGAGTATCAGATACTACCTGCCCCCTCCCTCATTATGTGCCGCAATAACTTCAGCTGCCTCTTCCCGATGTTAAGTATAAGCCCCCTTGTTTTCATCTTCTCTAAGACCTGATCACTCAGTCTATCATATCCTTAGCATTCTTCTGTAGAGCCACATTTCCGTCGCCTCGAGTCTCTTCTTCATCCTTGAGGAAATCACCCAACATTCGCCGCAGTAAAGACAGATGTCACGCAACAGTTCAGTATTCGTTTCTTTCTTAACAGAGAAATCCTCCTGTCTCGCAATACTCGGCCCAGCTTTTGTATTGCGTCCTTGGCCATCCCAGTACGTCTACAGATCTCAGTGTCGCACTTACCGTCATGGTTACACCCTTGAAAACATGGTCAAATCCCGGAGAGCTTCTCCAAGTAAAGAGAAGAATCTGTATCTGTAATAGTGAGCTTCCATTCCTGGTACTATCTGGGACATTTATATCAGAGCATATAAGCAAGATGATCGAAATTATCTCACGATGTATATTTGAAGTTAATTTCTAATTCTTATTTAATTCCTCTAAAGCAGGGGTCAACAAACATTTTTCACGGATGGCCAGATTACTGAGAGAATGGCGAGCGCGGACCGGATAACCATTTTGTTCAATACAAGACAACTGAATACACAAAAGACAACAAACATATTTATTTATCAGAATGTTATCAAAGAAGACAAAATTAGCAATAGAATAGTTATATCACCCCCAGTGTGCACATATCCGAATCTCACAAACTAAGCATCAAAACAATTTTAGTTGGATTTGTGAAACTGGCGTTTACCTTTTAAGACAGAATCAATATTTGTTTTGGAATTGCGGCATCCGACCAAGGGAATTGGTTTATCAGTCAACCTTGTTCGATGTGCCGACTTTACATACTTCATTTTTCAAAATTTTCCTCACAAACATAAGTTGTTTCAAATATTAATGCCATAAGAGGGGTTTTTTTTTTCAACTTTGAAAAGTCATCATTAGTTAAGCAGCGATAAAATTCTAGAATTCTCTGTGCTTCTCTTTCAAAAATTCACTTGCTTGTAAATCAATGAGTTCTAACTGTAGTTCAACTGGCATGTCATCAAGGTTACAATTAAATGCATTCTGGAACAGAAGAATGTCACTCTCAATTCTCTCAAGATCTGAAAATCTCTCTAAAAAACTTTAAGTCACGAATAATCTTCTTCGGAAAGTTGACATCTGTGATTCTAGTGTAAAACTTTTTATAATTCGAGAAATTTCTTCCTTCCAGTTCACTGATGTTCTTAAAACTTCTTTTACTGTCAGATACAAAAATCAGATTGGCCAAATTTTGGAATTTTTATTTACGTTTATTTGATTTTTCTCTCTACATAGCAATTTTTAGTACAATTTATTAATAATTCTATATAAATAAGTATATTTTATCTCCTTTGTACTACAGTGCGGGAGAGAGCCGGATGAATTGATATTGCGGGTCAGATTGGTGACCCCTGATCTAATATATGTTACTTTTCAAATCGAATCTGACACTGTTGTTATCTGTTCTTTAGAATATGCCACTCCTTTTCTCAGAAAGTTTCCATCCCCAGGGAATTTACTTTACTGAGTTATCCAGAACAAGACATGGCACGTGGAATTAGTACAATCTACCCCCGAGAATATAATAAAAGTTTCGGTTCAAAATTTCAACATATATCATCTAAAGAATGTCTGTAACTATAATGGCCGACACGTTATGAATAACTTAATAAAAGTGAATGCAACAATCCGAACGATGAAAATTGAGTAAATATTCTTCTTTGTCCATATATTTTTCTTCCTTATTATCCCTTTATTTTTATGATATTCTTTAATCCAGTTTTTTCTACTACTTATCTCTTTAAAATATCCTTTTTTGTTGTCTGCACCAAGGGAGAGGTTGTAACATTAAAATCGAAACAATATGTTGTTTAATATGGAATGACGCGAACACAACTTCGAAAAAGTAGAACAGAGATCAAAAGGAAATTGAAAGTATTGAAAAAAAGTGCCATAGAAAAGAAAATCAGAAAATAAATTTCAGAAAAATGAAAAATGTAAAGAATTCTAAAATGGAAATGAACAAAATCTTTGAAGAAAGAATTTGTTTTTACAAATGGAAACAAAGAGAAAAATGGCAGAAAAATGAGAACATTGAAAAAAAAGATAATAAAACGTCATAAGAATCAATGCAGGAAATGCTTATGAAACTTAGAAAATGTCAAGGTGTTTATATTAATGAATCAAGGTGTAAATATTTTATGAATGAATATGGGATAATATGTTAACCAAATATAAGATTCAGTTATCTACAATTTTCGTATTCGTAAATAATGAAATACCTTATTTACGAATTTAATTTGCTTAATAAAATGTGACGATTTAATTCGCATGAAATTGACGCCAGGCAAACATTTTTTTTCAATATTTTTTAGAACAATATCTAATTAGCTGCAAATCTCAATAAATACTGCACATTAAATAAAAACCTATTCTGAAAACATTTGCTAAATTGGTTATTACAAATTTTATTATGAACAAGTAAAATGTAACACGGTATAAATCTGTTTAACAAGAAAATAGTGTACATCTATTTAACTGAATCTATGAAATAGAGTCCATTCGAAATTGTCAGCCGAAATTATAATTTTATGGAATTATTACTCATAATCAGTGTTCTTTCAGGAAGACGAGTTTTGATTCTAATAATGAAAACTAGTTCAAGCGGCACAAATTTGCCATTTTTGCAGACAGTATTCAGTTTCAATTATGCAGTATTAATTACATATTTTCTCAAAATTATAGACATAATTACAGAATATATAAATACTGGTATAATAATTATATATATATATATATATATATATATATATATATATATATATATATATATATATATATATAAAATAAATATATATATAAAAAAATGATACTAAAAATTGAAAATAATTAATTTCGCATAATATTTCTTTGAGTCTACAATAAAAACGTCATCAGAATGCAGTGGACAATCGTTTCGTTCTTTTTAAGATTCATAAGCAGTGATCATCTAATACCAAGAATCGAACCCTGATCGTTATGATACGACAAAAGCGGCATACCAACGAGTCGCAGTGACGTAGAGGAAACTAATCAGCTACTCCTAATTACGGCGATCCAAGGATACATAACACACAAGAACCGTCTTCTTTCTTTCTTTCTTTCTTTCTTTCTTTCTTTCTTTCTTTATATATATTATATTTATATATATATATATATATATATATATATATATATATATATATATGAAGAAATATAGTTTTAAGGTGTGCTACATTTATGGAATAAAGTTCTCAATATCAGAGGTAGAGCGTATGTAAATATAAATCTGAACATTGAAGTCAACACTCAGAGGTGACAGGCTGTTTCATGCTAGGCGCAATCGTTATATATATATATATATATATATATATATATATATATATATATATATATATATATAAAAGATAAAGATATTGAATGTTCAAATATCCCGTTTATAAATAGACAAACAGGGATAGCTAGATAGATAGATAGATAGATAGATAAATAGATAGATGGATAGATAGATAGAAAGAAAGAAAGAAATCGCCTTCTGATTAGAATGAGATCAAAGTCTTTTTGTTGTGTAAAGAACATGTTGAAAACTATAAAGAGAAGAACGGACATTCAGACTTGAAAATACTTATTCTTGAATCCTTTTGTAAAATTTTTACATTATAGTAAAATGAAAAAAGTAAGAACAATTCAAATTCATTTCTAAATAAAGTTTCAATCCGAACATGAAAGAACGCATTCGTAAAAAAAAAAAATCATTTTCTCTTGCTAAAAATGGCGTCGTGTGGCGAAACCAAGTTGTAAAAGACAAAAGCAATGACCTTCGCAATTTCTTAATTAAACACTAAGATTAAAAGTGAACAGCATCAACGGATAAAATGCTACAACTTTTCTCTTTTCAGATTTTGCATTTAAAATTTTTGTTTCTTTTCTTAATGTTCTCACTGCTTACTAGATGATACTTCAATAGAAATATCATTTTTTATGTTGGTTTTAAATTCAGATTCCTGCTGATCCGCTCTGAATAACTTCAGTGTATCGTTATTATTAATAGCAATTATATTACATTTTTTTTTATTAACCATTCATATTAGTTGTATTTCTGGATCTCTCGTTGGAGATCATGAGAGTTTATTCACATTTCTGTAATAATTTATAACACTGAATACTTTTAAATCTTAACGTTATTTTTTTTGTTTCTCACATGCTCCTTAAGAATCATTACATGTACTCCACTGATTATCAGTTCTTATATTGCTACCCTTATATTGTGTACATATTTTACACTGGCGTAATATTTATCTAATATTCTGGATGCAGTATTCTGCTCGACTTGAAGCGACAAATATATTTGTTCTGCAGACAGATTCTGAGATTACAATGCAGAGCACATGTGAGCACAGAGAAAATCTTCAGGGAAACAGAAACATAAAATAAACTAGGATACTTACAATCAGAAAGTGATAGTTGAAATATCTTGGACGAATAATGAGGAAAGACGGCTTGGAAAATTTAATATTCACAGCATATACTGAAGAAAAGAGGATGCAAGGAAAACAGCAACTAACATACGTAATATTTTTGTATGAATGAATAGAGGACAATAAGAAAATAGCAACAATTGTCCCTGAATGAAGTATGCGATCAAGGAAGTGGAAGAAATGGATTAGGAGGATAAGGAAAATAGTTAACGACTGGATTTGAAGAAGTTAAGATTGTAGTTTTCAGGCAAGCACCATGCAGGAATATCTTCCAAAAAGTAGCAGTTCTTGAGAAAGAAAAAAAAAGATGTCTGAATGGCTCTCCTTAAATTATGAAAAAAAAGTAAGAAATGAGGAGAGTTCCTCTCCGAATACATGATATGTTGTGTAATAGGTGTAAAGATCAGATGTGATGTAAATAATGTGTCAGAGTTCATCTGAACATCTGTCGTCATGGCAATAGCGATAGATAAGCGATAAACTTGAGGATGCTATAGGCTTACAGCAAAAGACACGCAGTTGAGGAGAACTGTTAATGTTGAGGAAGGCACGGTATATAAAAGAATTTCTTCTCTCATGAATACATACATATTAAGACAATTATTATCACTGCTTATTATAATTATTTGTTTTAATCATTTCGCACCAAGCAAAGCGGTAATCCCACTAGAACGCAGGAGGGGAGGGCGTATAGGGAGTGAATGTGAAAGAGTATGAGAATAGGGAGGATTAGTGAAGATTAGTGAGAATTAGGGAGGATTAATGAAGATTAGTGAGAATTAGGGGGGATTAGGAAAGGACAAAATATGAACAGGGTTTGATGGCGATTGATGTTGCATTTAAATAGCGATTGATGTTGCATTTAAATGGTGATTGATGTTGCATTTAAATTTTGGAAGATTGTAATTATCGGGTAAGCAAAAAAACATGAAGGAGTTCTACATATTGGAATTGAGAAAAATAAACTTTTGTAGAAGACGTGGCGGTTGGATTTAGTTATTGCAACAGTAACACGGTGGGATCGAGATGCGGATATAGTAGCACGTTTAAATTCATGTAGTCTAGGCAACAGGGAAAAGAACACGTCAGAGCAGTTGCCATGGAAATATTTGTAGAAAAGACGCAGTGACGTTAATGAGAAAGCTACTGAAGTGGATGTGATTGGTCAGAACTGATTACATTAGAGATTCTTCGTTGGGTTTTGTAATGAATTTGGAAATGTGCAGCATGATCCTTAAACCAGACATGGCAGCAGTATTAAATGCAAGCACGGATGGCGGATTTAAAAATGTGCTAGTTGGATTCTGATATGAACAAATTTCTGGCACAAAATAATGAAACAACTTCCTTTGTAGTAGAAAATATAATGAGTACACTTCATTTCATGAATGTCTTCAATTAAATTTGTGGTGGAGATATTACCATTATTATTATTCCCGTTGTCTAACTCAGAGATAAACACACGAATAAAACACAAATATAACTAGGGCGTTGGCATCTGGACCATTGAACAATGAGAAAATCTGAATAAAAGGTCGCTTATTTGATCACTTCAGAAATATGCATTGGTTATCATCACAAATGTTATACAAAAATTCATATCAGTTGGATGCCGTACATCTTGATGGTGAAAACACATAAAGCAAGATCTCATCTTGAGAAAGAAAAACACTGGGGAAAATAATAATAATAATAATAATAATAATAATAATAATAATAATAATAATAATAATTCTATGGGATTATACCATCCACACAGACAGAAAAATTGAAACAAATAGGCCGGACATCATTGTCCAAAAAAGAAAGAAAAAACTTTCTAAAATTGATATGGTCCAAATTGTAACATAGCAACCAAGGAATTTGAAAACTATCAAAATACAAAGACCTGGAAATTGAAATAGAAAAATGTGGAAATTGAAAACAAGAATAATACCAGTGGTAATCACTTGGAATTATAAAAATGGAACAAAACAACACATTGAAAGAATCCTAGAAACCCCAGCTTAAGAAATACAGAAAATTGTCTTATTAAGTACTAATTAAGGAGAACTTTGTCTATGTAACATAGCAACTTCATCGGGATAAAAAAAAAAAAAAAAAAAAAATTAACATGAAATGTGATAACAACACACCACGACCTGCCTTAGGTCTTTCCGCAGACTTGGTAGGGTGTTCCATAGCAGAAATCGAATGATGATGATGATAATAATAATTAATAATAATAATAAATGAAAACGTGAAGCCAAGAAAGAAGATATTCAAAAAGGTGTCAAAATACAAGTATTTAGAAATTTCGAAAATTTTTTTTTTTCAACAATTTTTTGTAGTTGGAAATAGAACTGGTTGGAAAAAGATTGCAGTGACTAATTGAAGGGGTTCCTGGAAGTCCATGCCACAAGGAGATACAAAAAAAATTGTTCTGACAAGTACCCCACACCTTACGAAGGGGTTTATCTATGTAATTTTATTTATTTATTTATTTATTTTTTTTATTTTTTTTGTCAGTGGAAATGTCAAGATGCCATTTCTAACCTAAGGTCCCTGGGCGGTACCCGGAAAGAAATGTGTAAACGCCAAAATCAAAGAAAATAATAATAATAATAATAATAATAATAATAATAAAAAATGAAAACGTAAGGCCGAGAAAGCGTAGCGTGTTTCTTGCCGAGAGTTCATCATCAACCATTTTGATGACAGACAGGTAATTCTGGTCGCAATAATTTCATCGAATAAACTATTTTACATTTAAATTTCCAAAACATTCTTTTTATTTTTCTCTTAATATATTTAAGTTTGTATTTATTGTACCTAAATGGATGATGACATCCACTTTATTCATGCATTTCAAAATCACTGATCTTGTAAATTTTGTGTTTTTTAGTCGATTTACTGGAGAGAAAGATTTCATGTAAGTTAATTTCCCAACTGTTAATACTCTTTTATTGTCCACCAACCACTTAACAATTCCGAATGAAGTGATTATGTAACCCATGAAATATATTTCATCCTATCTCAGAATGACTGATGACAGGAGTATTAGAGTAATAATAAGCACTGAAATAATTACAAAATGGAGAAATCTATCCGCCAATTCAAAGACTCTCTCTACATTTCCATCTTGTTAGGTTTCATCTGATAATCAATAAACGGTTAATTTGGTATTCATTATTCCTGGAAATATTTTCTTGAAATGTTTGCAAAATATTTTTTTTTATATTTCGTTTGAGGTTCATTGATTGAAAAAGAAAGCAAACAAAGTGAGTGGGGTTGTTTTTCTTTTTAATTTTTCCTGATCTTAATCTAATTACATCTTCCCTGATGAGAAAATCCAAAATGGTTGAACGTGGATCGTGGTACCTAATTAAGCAAGAAAATTTCTCAAGTCTAATTAGGGTAAAGGCTTTCCAATTATTTTTTTTATTCTATTCTCCTAAAGTTTTCATAGTTATGTCTACACAGTCTTCAATGATAAGAAGTTCTTCCCATTCATTACTCCTCATAACACCTATGGGCGTTATCACTGTTATGCCACTTTTTAGACAAGCATATTCATTTATTTTTCTCAAATACAATATTCTTCCTTTATTGGATTAACAAGAGTATTTTCTTCTATGTTTTGTGTTTATTTAGGACGTGGGCGATCATAGCACCCCCCCACCAATTTATCATTTATGGCCCTTAAAAAAGTTTCTCTCTTTCTCAAGTTTCCCAACCCAATGTTCTACCATCCACTCACACCTCGTCAGGTTGGTGTTTGCCCATTTCTCTTGATCTTGATATTCCTTGTGAGTGTAAAGTTTTCCAAGCCCTTAGTCCTTATTTTGCGCCCAGTAAATCTCAGCTGTGTTCTTTCTGATTCTGTTTGCTTACTGTTATCATTTAATTTGAGATTTTAATGTTTCTTATTCACTACATCCATGGAATTCTTAGTATCCTTCTGTAGAGCCACATTTTTGTTGCTTTCAGTTATAAGAGTATTACACAGCTTAAAATGAATGTCTTCAATTAAATTTGTGGTGGAGATATTGCCATTACTATCATTCTCGTTGTAATA